TGATTTAAGAAAATATAATAATATAGGAATTTTCAATTAGTGAATCACACTATAGAAATATTTTTTATAATTTTTTTTACTAAGAATAAAAATTATTTTCAATCAAAAAAAGTTCTTAAAAATTTCTAAAATTTTAAAATTATAACTTTTCAATAAACAAGTATAAAACATTTTTTTCACAAAGACGTCGGACACAATTTTACAAAATGTGACACTAGTTGAATTTCTTAAATATGAAAAAAGAATATAATATTAAATAGATGATGAAATGTTTCCAAAAACAAGTTCTTTTTTTAATCTTTTTTCTTAATAATATTACATGCATAAAGCATTCATTAATTTTAATTAACTTTTATCAAAAAAAACTTAACTATTTGTTTACTAAAATTTTCTCTTTCTAATCACATATTTTTTTAATTTATAAAACTCAAAATCAATAATCTACCAAAATGACCCGAGTCTATTTTTACTTGAATATCACGACTCTTTGTTTTATCATTTCAGCTTTTATAATAACATGTTTTAGTAGAAGTTATTTTCCTCTTGAAAATGGATAATGCAGAAGTCGATTAAGCACTAATATATATATATAGAGTTAATGACTTATATACTGTTAGTGTAAATTTTTTTTACACTAACAATCAATTATATCTTTTAATTATGTCATGTTATTATAAACACATTTACTTTTAACAATGACATGACACAATTAAAAGATATAATTAGTTGTTAGTATAAATTTTTTTTACACTTATATATTCCTTTTTTTAATATTTTGATCTATATATTATTTCTCGATCGTGCTCATTGCATTTGCATGCTAGTATCCCATGGAATCAATCAATTACTTTGAGAGGGTTGATCTGTCATGACTCATGAGCTACATTATGGAAATTGGTCAGAGGCGTGCCAAAATCTCATTCGTTCAGCCACTTTATGTTAGCATGCTATGGACTCTACATATTTTATAATTACCTTATATTTCGTATCATTCTTTAAGCCTTTTATAATTTCATATAAGGATGCAACGTCTATGAGTGAGACTGAGAATCTGCATGTACGAACCCTATTCAAAGAAAATGAGAAAGGTGAGATAAACATGTGATAGAAAAAATATAATAAAATATTGTGAATTTATTTATAGCTCCCCAGCACATTTTTTAATGTGATTTTTTTTTTTTGGATTGCATCAAAGCTCGTAATTAATTAGTCAGCCTACCTAAAAGAGCCGGAAAAAGTACAAGCAAGTAACATAGGAAAATTATTGTTGAGTCATATGTGTGCTGTAAAGGAGTGTTTGAAAATTAAAGAACTTTAATTTACAAAAGTTATTTATAATTATTTATGATTTTTTATAAGTTTTATTTATCATATTAATAAGTTTTGGTGAAGTTTACTATAAAACAAATAATTTTAACTTTGTTTCAATATTTTTTTTTTGCTAAAATTTGTAACATAAATTCTAATATATATATTAAACATTTATAAAATAAGTTTTTAATTAAGTTATTTATTCAAATGCATCTTTGTTTCAATAATTTTAATTGTGTTATACTTTTTTCTCCATTATTAATATATTCTAGTGATTTCACATGGCTTTGCCAACATTATTGTTTTAAAGGGTTTAAGATATTATGAAGCACATGTACATCAACTAACAAATGACTATTTATGCTATTTTGAGTTTAAATCTTGAGATACAAATGCATTAAAAGTAGGAAAGCAATCTCACTCTAGTTAAATGACTTTATGTAGCCAAAGGATACATGCAATCTTATACCAAAAAATAAATAAATAAGATACAGTGTAATGGCCAATCTCACTCTCACTTCTAGGTAATTAAGTAGGAAATTTATTCGTGGCATGCTGCTCCAATTCTTAAATGGATTAAACTTTAACATTCAATAGTTGTCAACTACTACTAAATTAAGTTGTGTTAAACAATATAATCACAATATTATCAACAACAACATAGATTAGATCTTAGCATTGGATTAGAATTAGATGGAAACTTCTGTTAATCTTTTTTCTGAGTAATTCCAATTGTGTTATAAATAGGAGAGGTAGATGTAAAGAGGAGAATGCAGGAAACAAAAACGAAGAAGATTATTAGGATAATAATGCACGTGGTAAGGTCAAGTGAGAAATTAAAGCAAAGATGGTAGGATTTGAGACAGGCCCATTGCACGTGTGACGTCCAATTGGCAATTGCTATGTCTATAGCACAAATCTCCAAGGCAAAGGTCAATGGTCAATCTTCTATTTATAATTGAAAATGACACTTTCCTGTCTTCATGTTCCTTCGTATCGTATGTGCATGTGAGACACTTTTTTTTTTTTTTTTTTTCAATTGACTTTTTTAAAAATGTTTTTATAAGATTTTTTAAAATTATTTTTGCATTAATTATAATTTTATTAAATTTTTTTAATAAATCTACAATAATGTAATATATTAGTACAATAAATTTAGTCTCTCTCATGAGAGGATCGGAGAATATAACTTACACATATTAATTAATTAAGTGAAAAATAATTTTTTAAAAAAAGAATGAGATGAATCCCAATAATTTTAAAGATCATTGAGAAAAAAATAATAATATAAATTATTAATAAATATAATTTTATTATGTTATTAGTATTTTAATTTGTGCATTTCATAAGGTAAATATTTATTATATATAATTAAAATTTATAATAAATTATATTTAAATAAATATTATATTGTATATAAATTATATTTAAAATTAATATAAATAGATATTTTTAAATATATAAATAATATTTTAGGTTTAAGATAAATAAATATATTGTTTTAATAATGTTTCTATACTTAGAAAATAATATTCTTTTTAATTATTGATAACTTATTTTAAAAATATTAAAATCTAATTCATAAATAAATATAATAAATAAAAAAATGAATTATATAGAAAATAAAAAAAAAAGAATAATTTTTAAAAATAATTTTGTACAAGATAAATATTCGTATTTAATATGTAGAAGTGAATTTATTAAATTAACTAATTTTCTTAAAGAATATGAATTAGTTAAAAGAGTCTAATATTTAGGGACATAAAAATATTAGTACGCGAGTAAAAAAAAAAACTTAGATTATACTTTTAGTTTTTTTGTTGTTGTTAATATGTAGTTTCAGTCTCTCTATTTTAAAATGAAGACAATTGATTTCTCTAATTTTAAAATTGTGAAACTTTGATCCTTTCATCAAATTGATTTCTATTAATCAATAGGTTTTAACATTTATTCATACTTAAGTAATGTAACATTTAATAATATGATATTTAATTTAAAAAAAAGTTAAAAAAATATATAAATAAGATTTATTAATAAAATAAATATTAATTACTCATAAATATATATTAATAAAGATTTTTTATTTTATTTTTATATATCACGTCACTTAAATTGTAACAAATTACTAATTAATGTCAAAATTTAAATATTAAAACACATCAAATTAATGATAAGATCAAAATTTCGTAACTTTAAAAATAAAAAATTAAATATTCCTATTTTAAAATAGAGGAACTATAATAATGGATTCACAAAAATAAAAAGATTAATATATATTGGATATGAACTGCATGATATTTGTTAGTCTTTTTTGTCTTCTTTTGTTTGACATCTCGCAAAATAATAATTAAAAAAAACAAAGTTTCATTTTAATGGTCACTTATAATATTAGTTAATATTAAATACATTTTATACTATAATTTTCATTATTTACTGTAAAATGAGAAAATATAAAAAGAGTATGGATCGATGAAAGAGAATCTAATTAATATAAAAATAAATTATATGTTAAAAAATATATAGTAATTTTCATAAAATTTAAAATATATTGATTATATTTTTAATATACATAAAAAATCTTAAATATAAAATTAAATGAGAGAATAAATTATTAGTTATTTGTTAGATTATAATTACATTAAAGTGCCCTTTAATTTTGTAGGTCCAAAACACGTAGCCTATAACCTGATTTCGATGATTAATATGAAGTAAACTAGAAATATTGATCTCATTTAAATTAATTTTCTTATTTCAGTAAATGTTTTCTGTAAACTGAGTCGAACTTTTCATTAATTATATCACACTAATTTGATTAATTTGGTGATGCGTGGCATTCACATTACCTTAGTCAAAATATAATAATGTTAGTGAAAAAAATTAACAAAATGATTAATTTGATTAATAGACACATTATAAAAGACTAAAAAAACAAAAGGTCTAGTTTGATAATAGAATCATTTTAAATCAACCATTGAAAGGTTATAACCATGCCAACCAGAACCTATATTCTGAATTTCACTTGGTAATAGTTGTTCTGCTGGTTAAATTTATCTGGTTAATCTGAATCTACAATGCTGATGCAGCATTAAATCAGAAGGTAGAGGCACCGACAGCTAGCCATTAGGAGAAGGGAGTAAAATGAAATAATAAAAACAACTAATGGGTTAAATAATAAACAATTGAATGAAAGTTCCAAGTAATTGCTTCTTGCCATTGATTATTTAAAAGGAAGATACTATGGCTAAGATTTTAGGGCCATTCATACACTGTCTTGTCTTTTATGCAATGCAGAGAGAGAAAGCTTAGCTGGTGTGTTTGTACTTTGCCATCATAAAGAGGAGCCACTCATATCTTAATAGTTTTCATTTTTCATATTTTTTAATCATAAATCTTCCACCCACTATTCCTTATTGGAAATGCCCATAGTCCCTTCCCTCCTCCCTCTAATTATATTATTAACATAAAGTATGCTAATTAGTTTTTATTAGAAAATGTAATTAATTTTTTAATAATTTTTTTTAATTACATTATTTCATTTATAAAATTTGAATCATAAATGTTACTTATGAGAATAAAGTAAATCCAATACCGCTTAAATTATTTACTTGTTGATAACAATAAAATAAAATAACACAAAAAAATAAAATATCATAGAAATAAAATAAACATATCCCAACTCTTCTTTGTATATAAAGCCTTCTTCCAAAAACCTTCTTCAACACTATCACAACCCCATCATCACTTGTTGCTTGTTGTTCAACAACAAATACCCCATTGGACTTGTAGCTTAGATCAATCTCTTTCAAAACCTTCCCTCTCTAATAGTAGGAAAACAAGGTTTCATTTCATGGCTTCTTTTTCTTCTGCTTCTTCTTCTCTGACAATATCACCAAGGAAGCTGCGCTATGATCTATATTCCTATTCATACAAAGAAGATTCCAACACCCCTTTAGTGATAAACGTTCTGGCTTCACTAATTGAGAGGAGCATGGCCAGGACACAGAGGATTGTGAAGAATTGTTCCAATGCTTTGTCCAAAGCCATAAGCACAAACATCTTTGATTGTAGGGAGATTCCTGATATGACCATTCAGTCCTATCTAGAGAGAATTTTCAGGTACACTAGAGCAGGACCATCAGTGTATGTTGTGGCCTATGTCTATATTGACAGGTTCTGCCAAAACAATCCTAGCTTTAGGATCAATGCCAGAAATGTCCATAGGCTTCTCATAACAACTATTATGGTGGCTTCCAAGTATGTGGAAGATATGTAAGTGCTCTTCTCCCTCTAAAGTTTATCTTTTTATTGTTTTTTACAAGTGAGGTTGAATCAATTTTGAAGAAATAATAATCATTTTTTTTTTCAAATTTAACTTAGTAACAGATTCCCTGCAGAATAATTCTTATAGATATATGATAATGCTATCAATTGTTACATTTTTCAAGAGAAATGGCCAAAACTAGAACCCTTAGGTTTATCTGAGAAAAATAGCAACCCTCTTTTCCAGCATCAATTCTAAAAAAAATGATTTTTTTTTTATTTTTTATAATAATTTGGTGAGGGGTTTGTTAAATTGAGACAAAGTTTGTTTCTTTCAATCTCAATCAGTGAGGGAACTGGCTAACAGCCTGCGAAGTGGACATTTTGTTAGGTCACCTAGTTTAGGTGGATGTTGTTGTTAATGTGTGATAATTGTGTTTTTCTTCATCATTTTTTTTATATTAATTTCTTGGGTTGGAAACAGGGCACTCTGTGATACTAATGTGGCTTCTCCTTATTTGACAGGAATTTCAGAAACTCATACTTTGCAAGAGTTGGTGGATTGACAACAAATGAATTGAATGAGTTGGAGCTTGAATTTCTTTTCTTGATGGGTTTTAAATTGCATGTGAATGTGAGTGTGTTTGAGAGCTATTGCTGCCATTTGGAGAGGGAAGTTAGCATTGGAGGAGGGTACCACATTGAGAGGACCCTAAGGTGTGCTGAAGAGATCAAAGCAAGGCATGTAGAAGAAAGGGGTTACACACAAATTGCACGTCTAATGTTGTAGAATGGTTAGGAAATTTTGGTGTTTTTATTATGTTTCTTTTTTCTTTCTTTAGTTTTTTTTTTTTTTTGTCTTGTAATAAAGAAAGGTAGTTTATGTGTACAGATCAATGTAAATCTAAATATTTGTTGGGGGATTGAGATTTTAGAACAGGTGAGGGAAAGCGAGTCATGTACAAATTTGTCTTGTTTCATCTCAAGGAAACAGTGAATTTTGATTATCAGAAGAGTTTTGGCGTTTTATATGTTAATCTGAAGTTTTTTGAGATTTACTTCTTCTGTCTTTATGTGTGCATATTTTCAATCCTTTGAACTAAATTTATTATTTGGCTATGCTTTTCCTGGATTGAAATTTGAAAATGTAGGTGTCAGTATCTGGATCTTGAATTGTTCACAGAGAAATTATTATTCCACTTCATAATGTGAACTTGCATAAGAAAAGGGGTATGCAATAACAAACTCTTTTGATTTACATGTCTAAACTAGTCAGTAATGAGTATAAATGATATAAGAATAAAATCTCATTATACTTATTAATATCATGATTTCAAATCTCGTAAATCACAACATGATGGAGGGAAACAAAGAAAGAATAATTGGAGAAGTCAAAAAGTGTTCATCGATTGCTTTGTTCTTTTTTTTACTTTTCACCCTTTAATATAGTATTTTGATGGTGAAAGACGAGCAAAAATTTGATAGCATTATAATGTTCTAACAAACTTTCTTGATCTATAAGCAAATCAACTGGGTTGTAATACACTATGTGAGCTGTGGAGCATTATTATAGCAACATTTTGATTATTCTGCAAGTCAAAATGGTTAAGGAAAATGATTTTTCACACCTTGATAAGGCGTGTATACCTCGAAATAGAGAGAGATTGGAAGAAGAGATTGAAAAGATAGTGGTAAGATACATATATTCCAAAATTAAAATATAATAAGTTAAATATAGTTGAATGGTTTTTAGGAATACCATGAACAGCCACACAACTAATAAGTTAACAAGAATTAATTGACAAAACTTCAATAAATTCAAGGGTGGTTGTTAAAAAAAAAAAGAATTATAAGGTATAAGAAGTATTCTTTTTTCTGAGAATAAAAAAATATGTGCAATTAATTCTCTCAAATTTTTTAACTAAAAAATTCTTGCTGGCTAACTTTTTTCTTGGACTGATCGATCAAACAAGGGTTAAATTATGAAATATTTACTAAAAAAATATCTTGAAACTATTTATGAATTGGGATTGATTTTGTAACGTTATCACCAAAATCGCCATGTAAATGAACAGTTTTCAGTGATCACCTACCATATATTAGCCCATTTTTGTTTTGTCATTCCCATATAAAAATTAAAAAGCTTAAAATGTTTTTGGTTATCATAGTTGATTTTTTGTTTTAAGTTTCTATAAATTTCTTGTTTAACTTTTTATCTTTCTAATATTTTTGTTTAGATTGTTTAGTAAAAATTTCACATGATATCCTATTTGACATGTTAGATTAACAACTGTCACATTAATGATTCACTTAATATGACATGTCAATACATATGTTAAATTAACAATAAAATATAATTAGATGAATTAGAATAAAAACTTTTATGTTTTTTTTTCTTCTATAAGAACGTAAATAACATATTCTTATTGAGTTAGCTTTTATAAAGATAAAATAGTATATCCAGCCACAATTTCATGTTCAATGCAAGAATTGAATCTCAATCTTTTGATTAAAGAGTAAAAATGTTTAACCACTTTGAACTACCGATTTTTATTATAAAAAAAAAAACTTGTATATTTATAATTATAGGTTCCGAAGCAAAAAATTGAGTGTATTTAAAGGGCTAAAACAAAAATTGAGTATATTTAGAGAGTCTAATAGATAAATTAGGAGCATCATGAATAATAATTTAGAGCTTTAGTTATTGATAAACACATACAACCTCAATGTTCCACTGTAACAACACAACTTCTTTCACACAAGTCAACCTAGCAGTGAATGTGAAAAATCAAGCTAATCCACTAATTTTGACCTACCCTTCTATGAGTTTTGCCAAATACAGTTCGGGTTAGGGTAGATTTGCTCACCAAAAGATGGCCCGAAAGTTATAGTTTGTCTAGTAATAAGTTTTTTAACAAAAATAATTTAATTTTAAAATTTAAAAATGTTTAAACAAAATATTTTAAATTTATAATAAATATTTTATATTGCGACATGTGATTATTTTAATTATTGATAATTTAACTTAAAATATTAAAATTTTATTTATATATAAATATGATAATTAAAAAATTGAATTAAATAAGAAATTAAGAAATTCTTAAAACACTTTTACTAAAGAAAAACTTTTTAAATTATTTTCATTAAAGAGAAATTAGTTAACAAACGCTCTTACGTAAAATAAATAATCATATTTAATATAAAGGAGGATATAATTTTTTTTTTTTTTAATTTTGGAAAGAAATTATTGGTAATGTGTTCGCATGATGTAAACAATAAGGTTGATTTTAGACTTTTAAGTATATACGCCCACCTTTTGTTCTACAGTGGATATAAAAAGGAGATCAATTAATTAATTATGTGGAATGATGGGAATAATAATGTTAATGCAAAATTGTTTTTTTTTAATTTAATTGAAAATATGGATTGTAACTTGGAAGATATTACACGTACTTTTCATCAAACCGACCCGCCGATCCCTGAAAAATGACCCGTTCCATATTTAAATGATGTTATGCATGCATGTCATTATCACTCGTATTAATTAAATAGTGTGTTAAGAATATTAGTTAAAAAATTAAAATTTATAATTTTTTTATTAACGTATTCTCATTGTGAGATTAAGTTAATTTCTAATAAAAATTTTATTATTAATTGACATTTAGTGGAAATTAGAAAATGATATGGGTGTTAGTTTATATTTAATAAATTATATACTCATGAAAATATTCTTTAATTTCTTATAAATTTTAATAATGACATGAACTTAATTAAACACAGTTTATCGTCATTGGAAAACATATCAGATGACAAATTTTATTTTAATTACTTTATAATGGAAATATGAACTTAATTAAACACACTACAAAAAAATTATCATATAGTGACACACATCCTATAATGACACAATATATATCATTAAAAATTACTTTTACTCACATAATAAATATAATATATGTTCATATATTGTTAAAAAGTGTGAATATAGACTATAGTGACACACAAAATATGTTCTTAAATTTCATTCAAAATCAACACTAAAATTGTATGTTATATGTCAAATAAATAAATAACTACATATATTTAACTTATAATAACACTTTTTGTATATCACTATATGTAATATTCGTTATAGTGACATTTTATTTTCTATTAATGCCTTGACTAGAATTATTTAAAATAACAAAGAAATAGCGAAAACTTATAGTTTATATGCATGTGGGAAGTTGCTCGAATTAACTAATAGCAAATGATGGGCCAGCATCACCTAAAGATCGGTGTTGTTTGATTTCAGTGGTGATCATTACATCAGAAACTAGAGAGAGAAGATGAATAGAAAAAAAGTTGAAAAAGAACTAAAGTGTATAGTATATGACATACCAAAAGAGATTCAGCTCTTGATGAAGTTGACCATGCAAAGCTGCCATGTGTCTTTATGTAGGAATTGATTAATTAGTATAATCAATGATAGCATGTCTTTTTCTTTTGTGTGTGGATTATGATGCATTACCAACCGAAGACAACTCGAATGAGTGCATAGAAGATGGACAAAGCATCTTCATTTTAGAGTAATTAAAGGGACATTGAACCTATCCTCCTCCTTTCTTTCTGCCTACTTTGAGAAGGAAAGGAGAAAGGTAATTGACAGAATGCAAATTATTAGGCTTTAGATAGATAACTGCCTCCTATAGGCGTCTTATAATATAGTTCCCACTTGGATCTTAATTATTAGAGTTTTGATTTCTTCAAGCCTACAACAATGCATGGCTATCAAAACAAATAATCTTTCAAATAACAAAACTTGTCAACTAGATTATTTAAATAATTAGTTTTATATTTAATTAATTATTATAATCAATTATTATTAGAATAAATTTTTTATTTGGATAAATTTACTAAAAAACTGATTTTGAAATATCTAATTTAATATAAATACAATAACAACAACATTGATGTTAGAATATTATGTAAAGAGTCTTAGATTTGAATTTTAAAGTTGTTATTATAATTTTAATAGATTAAAAAATTATAATAACAACAACTAACGAAATAACTTTTGTATAATAAATTAGCTTTAAGAGAGAAAAGTTGTTGATAATCATAAATTTCATATTTTCAAATGTACAAAATAACTTATGTAAAATAAAATGTTTTACAAATTTAAGTCATTATCATTGACATTTAATTTAATCTAAATTACACTTTTCGTAATTTTAATCTTTTTTAAAATAGAGACATTTAAAATTTCTAACTTTTAAAATATTGAATTTTGGTTCTTTCTTTATATTGACATTTATTAATCTTTAAATTTTAACATTTATTCATACATAATGATGTGATATATAATAATATAATATCTGAAAATAATGAGAAAAAAAATGTAAATAAATTTTATTAATAAAATAAATATTAATTATTTATTAAAATACATATAAACGAAGATTATTTGCATTTTATTTTTTTATTTTTATCATTATATGTAACGTTATTAAATATTACGTTATTTAAGTGATAATAGATCATTGGACAATTATATCAAAATTTGACAAACAGGATTTAATTTTTGTATTTAGAAAAATAAAGGGATAAAATTACAAATTAACAAATAAAAAAAACTAAAAGAAAAATTTAGTCTTTAACTTATTTTGTAAATGATTTTTTTTCTTCTGAATAAGCAGTTGAAATAGGAAAAAAAAAGAAAGTTTTCTCCTAAGACATGCTGGTTGAGGAGTTTATAAAAAAATGGATGAAGTTAATGTACGGATTGTGTTATAAATGATTAAAAGAAAAATAGTGTGAATGTATATATAAAAGAAGTGTTGTGAAGTTGGATCTGGCAGCTGAAGAGAAGAGTTGAAGGGAGAAGGCAAAGGCAAAAGGGACATGCAGCTACCTAACTTACTTGAATATTTATTATATTTGATGCGACAATGGAACCACAAACAAAACAGTTCGTGGACCTTATTGTATATTCCAAGAGGCCGATTTTATGCTACTCTGTTCATCTATATAT